AAATACACTGTGGGGGAAATACACTAAAAGGGGGTTAAACTTTGATTAGAGATGTTGCAAGTAGGAAAAAATGCTTGCTCCAATTTAACTTTTGCTTTTCAGAAGACATGAGTACATAAATTATATAGGAGAATGATGATTACTAGACAGTCTAAAAGCTGGGGGCTTGAAGCCAATTTTCAACCAACTGTCACAGAACATAAGTTTCAAAATATGTTTAAACTAAACTGACAACTACAGAAAAAATGTAAAATTCTTTGAAAGGTTGGGTTATGTGAACTGATGAGGACCTCAGAAACCACATGCCATTTAACACACAGTAATACTTCACTGTAACATTCCCACTCTCTTCTGGAGGGAATATGAAAAGAGGGAGAACAGATACTTCCCCAAATTCAGCTGATCCAACCAGTGGGGAGACTCTTCTCCGCAGAGTGGCCAACAGAAGGCAGGTTCATCCAAAAACTGAAAGGGCCAAGGGAGGTCCCCTGGCCCAGAGGCTTTCAAGCTGGGATGGAATGACCCAGGAAGTATGCACGTGTGAAAGTGTGTGTGTGTGTGTGTGTGTGTGTGTGTGTGTGTGTGTGTCCCACCTTTCTATGTCCAAGCAGTTCCACTTTCATTTGTTTTCTACACCTAGGTTCTCTGTTAGATCAAAATCACTGCTATGTTCCCATCTCTTCACTGTACTGGTCACAAACCAAGGCCAGAGAGAGCCCATTAAGCATCTAAACTGGCAGAGGGGTAGAGCCACAACAAGCATTTCGTGAATTCTCAACTAAAATGTCTTTACACCAGTTACAATGACTGCAAGATCTCATGGCATTAGGCATTGGTCCAAGGGGTCAGGAATCACTTATCTAATAGAGTTACTCCCCAGCACAGCTCTAGATGGATTTTAGCTGTGCCCACAAATCTCCATGAGTCTTAGAGCAAGCTTTTTCCCCCCTCCAAGGAGGTGTAGTGAGTCTGTAAAACCCCTAAAGTGGTACATGTAGTTGTACACGTTTGTGTGTGCATGTGTGTTTCTTCTGGAGATGGTTCGTAGCTTCCAACTGCTTTCCAAAAGCATCTGTGATCCCACCAGATGATAAGAATCAGTGGACTTGAGTAAGAGCATGAAAGAAAGAAGGACTACATAGGAGCAGTTTATGTTTATAACCAGGAAAACTTATCAGAAACCACTAAAGGCTAGTTGTATGTTTCCTGTTAAACTACCAAGGTCACATAGGGAAATAGAATGGTAAAAACAAAAGTGGCCAGGTATCTATGAGAATACAGTACTTGTTAGATGGAGAGAAATAGATTTTTTTCTATTTCTTGGGTTTTACATGCTGAAGAAAAATATTTGATGTCTAACAGTCTACCTATACCCTGAAGACCAAAACCAGGACTCCAAAGCCTTAAATAAATTTAGGGTGGGGGGATTAGCTCCATCTCCGAATATTCCCTTCAGGAAATGGTGGTGAGAGACATGATGTCTAGTGACTGAGAACAACTGTTTCTTTCAATCTAGCTTAGATTCTTGAGAGACAGTGCTCATCTTTATAACCATGTCAAGGTGGCAAACACTAAAAACCGCCTTCTGTCCTTAATGCTGGTAATAGCAGGGAAGAAAGTAGCTGATGTTATTCTGGAGATGGAACGGACATGGAGAGCCTCATTTTCCATGATGGGAGGGCTTTCTCCTACTTCCACCCTAGCTATAAACTGAAGAGAAGCCTGCAGAGGAAGATCAGATTCCGAATCATCTTCACGTGTGTGGACTGACAAGCAATGAATTAGAAATTAGTTTACACTGAAGTGAAAAAACCTACAAAGCCAACTGGAAGTTGGGGAAACAGTATGGCCCTGTGTTTTGAAATAATATTCGGTATTTATCTGGAGCGTCTATCTTATAATGGACTAAAATAGAGAATTTCCTGAGGCCGGGAGATTGTAATTATCTGAGCAACGAGGAATGACACTTGGGTTTAATTGGAACGAATGATACACGGATGGGCCACCGATTCCTATCCAGGAATAGAAGCATTATCATGGAAATTATACTTCAAGGTCAGTAAGCAAAATGACAAGAAGATGGTCTGTGCCAATAGCTTAAATGCCAGAAGGCACCAGGCCAAGAAGGTGCACGGACATAAATCCACTAGTGGCACTGATGTAATTATGGGCTTAGACCAATTCTCAAAGCCAGGCCGGAAGCTGAACCACAGTCCTTATGGGAAAAGAGAGAGTATGAAGGTAATTAGGAGAAAAAGCTGAGGGAAGATATTTTCCTTAAGAAAAAACCCTAAAACTCTAAATAAAACTCCGTGTCTGCACGGGGACCTTCCTGGCCCTCAAACATGCATAAAACAGATCCGAGGGAGGAAGGGCCCACACACATCTTTATAAGCTCAGTTTCAGAGCTGAGCTGCACGTGCGTGTCAGGGTGTGATTCCCTCCCAGGGGCCAGGGCCTGGCGGAGCCCTGAGGTCCGTGTGACTTGTGAGTATCCAGAACAAAGGTCTCACAGGGAATTTCACAAACACAGAACATATTTTTTCTCCCTTGACTTCGCTTTCTAGTTTTTCTCTCCCTCTGCTATTGTTTAGTTTTGTGGTTCAGCTTTTTGAAGAATGGTGGGAGGTACTGTGTTAAGCAATGCTCTAAGAATGAGGCTCAGCTGCAATGACTGCATGATGAAGACTGGCCTCCCACGTCTTTCCAACTCAACTGTGACTCGACTCATGACAAAGAGACAGACACAGGAAGGAGAGCAGGTAGGGAGTCCTACTTATTGTCACACAGGTGGCACCGTGCCCAGCACATATACACATACACACGCTGACTTGAGTGAACCGGCTGTTGGAGCCAGGTAGCTTTGAATTAGGTTCTGTGTTGTTTGCAAAGAAGAGCCAACAGTCCCAACACTATGTGCACTGGAGCCATCTTTTGCTGATCCTGACGATCCCATCAGTGAAAGTGATTCAGTGACCAAATCTGGTACAATGTTACCCTGATGGAAGAATATCAGAGCCGAACATCAGTGAGACTCAGTCAGAACATGAGAAGGGAACCCAGTGAAGTTACAGTAAAAGCAGATTTAAAAACACATTGGGTAGGGGGGGACATAACATCAATAAGGGTACCTGATCTCAAACCAGGCAAAGTGGGGACTAGAGGGAGGCCCAGATTTACCTGTATGATAACCACTTGTATACCCAATCCTGAACTGTACCCCATCTTTAAAATTAAAGAATTAAACAAAACAAAAAAAACGCATGAGAATACCAAAATAAAAATGAGAGTCAAAATAATTTCTAACTCTTTCTTCATGATTAAGCAAAAAGCCTGATTATACTAATATTTAACAGCTGTACAATATGTTGTCCAAGCACTTTATAGTAATATTATTCGTTGATACATGCCACAGAGAAGAAGAATAATTAGACTCCTGGGAATAAATAACTCCCAATTTTCTGAGTATGATATAATTTTCTAGGCTGAAGTGATGCTTATAAAAAGATACTGAGTATGGTTTAAGTTTCATTTCAGAAATTATATTTCATTTGAAACATAAGAAATATCTACAAGGTATGGCTTGTAAGTTCAGAGACAATATCATATACAAGATATTTAAGTGAATAAGCCCAAAGGAAGGTTAAAAAGTATAACATATATGAGTAAATATATTTTTAAAGAAAATAATAAAAGTTGGTCAAGCACAGTGATTCACACCTGCAATCCCACTATTTTGGGAGGCTGAGGCGGGAAGACTGCTTGAGCCCAGGAGTTTGAGATCAACCTGGGTAACATAGCAAGACCTCATCTCTACAAAAAAGTAAAAAAATTAGCTGGGTGTGGTGGTGCGTGCCTATAGTGCCAGTTACTCAGGAAGCTGAGGTGGGAGGATTGCCTGAGCGTAGGAGGTCAAGACTGCAGTGAGCCAAGATCATGCCACTGCACTCCAGCCTGGGCGACAGAGAGAACAACCCTGATTGAAAAAAAAAAAAAACAAAAAAAACCAGCAAATAGAAAAGTTGTAAAGATAATGTCAAAAGCACAGATTCTGAGAAATTTGTCATAAATCCTGCTAATATTTTGTCTCCCAGGAAGAGAAAGCAATTTGAGAAATGGCTATTGTGGACCTAGTCTGACCATCTGGTAAGATTCAATAGGCAGAAGACAGAGAGGAAAATCCTTAGGTGATCAGAAAAGAGGAGACTGGGCATATTCATCATATTTATGAACCCGCTTAAGGTCTTAAGAAGGCAGAATTTAAACAATTTAGACATAAAGATGGGAAAATTCCCTGACAAGAAATTCAGGAAGGACTGGAGCTATGTAGTTCACAAAAATGCAGTTCTAGGAATTAGGTCTTGATAATTCAAAAATATGCTTTAACCTAGGATATGGGCAATGTTATAAATTAGAGGGCAAGGGGCTGTACAGTTAATAAATAACCCTCAGAAAAATGCCCAGATGTTTGGAAAATGATCCAGTGTGTACCTTCCATCATGCTATTCCCTCAAAATAAGTCCTAGCAGCAAGACCAAACATTTAAATGTAGAAAACAGTGCCCTTACATAAATAACCCCAGATGAAAATGTGGGTAATGAACTGACTTTAGGGCAGGCACGGTGGCTCATTCCTGTAATCCCAGCACTTTGGGAGGCTGAGGCAGGAGGATTGCTTGAGTTAAGATTATCCTAGGAAATATAGTGAGATCCTGTCTCTACAAAGAAAATAATAACAATAATAGATTTTACACACAGATAATGGCAAGAAACCTGTTGATTGAAATTACGGACAATATTGATTAATGATTGTTAGGACTCACTTTCAGAAACTCTGCTAATAAATTCCATCCCAGTTTGTGAACCTTGAGTCTCGAGTGAGTGAATTAATTAGCAACCTGACATTCACAATTCTGGATAACTTCCAAAGAACTTTAAAAATCAAGAATTTAGGATCAAGTCAGTCTTTACTGAGATCTGACAGTGTTAAGGAGAACTTACCTGCAGCAAATGACAGCTTTGCATGACAAAGCTAAATCTAGGAAATATTGTCGTACTCCAAAGGTTAAGGCATACTTCAGGGTTTTCCCATCAATTATAAGAGCAAAATCATTCTCTTTTCGAAGGGCATCGCCAAGGGTAGTGCAGTGACGACTGAGAGTTTCCCTTGTTCCCTGGAATATTAAACAAACAGAAACACCATCAGCATTCACTCCCATTTGTTCTGCTAAGATGCCTTAAGGATGCTTGAGGACTACATTGAATTATTTTTTAGTGCTTTTTATGTTTCAAATTGTTTTCACATATATATACTCGTTGGAGTCTCACAAAAGCCCCTCAGGAGACTGGACAAACGTTATCAGAAAAAGGAAGTTACTGGATGGAAGTCACACATCTGTTTCTAGCAGGGTTGGAACTAGACTGTAAGTCACCCACTCCTTAGCTGACTCTGCAGTCTTAGCTCATTATTCTAAACACACAATCACACAGCAAAAATATTTTCAGGAAATTATCTATCTTTTAAAAACATCATTCTAATTTATGAGCCAGTCAAAATTGCTTTGCCATGAGTCAAGGGAAAAGCTGGAAAATTTACAGTCACGTGTTGCATAATGATGTTTTTCACCTCTTGGTCAACAGATCGCATATACCAAGGTGGTACCATAATACTGTATTTTTACTGTACCTTTGCTATGCTTATACAAATACCACTGTATAAGAGTCCACAGTATTCAGTGCAGTCACATGGTGTTCAGATTTGTAGCCTAGGAGCAGAAGGCTATACCATATAGCCCAGGTGTGTAGCAGGCTATACCACCTAGGTGTGTTGATGTACATGTGATGATGCTCGCACAATGACAAAATTGCCTAATGTCATGTTTCTCAGAATGTATCCCTTCGTTAAGCAACCTGTGACTGTAATTTAAATACTCTATATTTAAATTATAATTTAAGTATAATTTAAATTAAATAAATATAATTTACATTAAATTTAAATATAATTTATAATTTATATTCTTTCCAAAGTGCTCAACATAACTAAAATTCAATTCCCCATCACTGAGAGAAGGAAATGTAGACTCTGTAAGCCCTTGCCACTTCATGAATTGGTTTCTGTAACTTTAATCATGACCTAATGATGCTGTGTTTTAGTCAGGGATGGTGACATGTGGCTTGGTAATCTTGATGAATCAAACAAGAGAATCCCCTTCCATCATTGTAGAGTTCACCTTCAGGCACAATAAGATCCTTTAGTGTCAAGGAGAGCGTTGTTCACTTTAGCTACACAGAAGGAATGCATAATGCATTTGTCTTCCTCTGTCAAGAACTGGCTTTCCAACTCTACAAAGGGAAAACGATTCAAGATATTTCATTTTTCTGTCCCAATCCTATATATTGTTCCTATAACCTAATGAAGTCAATTTCCTGTTTCATAAGCACTCTAATATTGTGAAGAAACACAACACTGGCCCCACACAAGGATATAAAAAGAAATAAATGATTTCCTTCATCCTAGATTTTTGCTCTGAGTGCAAAGTTTGCAGTTATTTATATAATAAACACAAACACACATTTATATAGCAAAATATACCTATGATACAAATGTAATATACTTACAAAATGATTTTTATTTCATTCATGGGAGATATAATTATTGTTCCAATTAAACAATGTGATGTAGTTATTTCACAGAGAGGGAAACAAAGGTATAGGTGATTGAAATTTGATATTGGAAGATGTTTTCGCATTTGTATTCAAATGTGGTTCTCACCATGTTCTGAAACATCAGAATCTGTTTATTAAAATATTAGAACCATATTGTGCTGTAAACACAGTAAGACTGCCCAACTTCTCAATATGGGAGCTTTACTTGACAGACTCTGCCCCCCATTACACACAGGACACAAAGGACCACCATCCAGCTGAATTCTTTGCAAAATTTTTTGTTCACACTTTACATCAGAGGTGGGGAGGGGGTAGCTGTTTTAATTTACAGGCCTTACCCTCCTATTTCCTGCTGGAAATTTTTAGCTCAAGAGGACTTAAGAAAAAGAAGTAAAAAACATCAGTAATAATTCTGCAAGCAAAATTCACTGAGGAACATCTATTTGGTTGTCTTAAAGGCAAATTTGTATAGAATCAATGAACAAATAAGTCAACGAACTGATAACAAAAAACAACATTTAGCATGCACTACACCACGCACAGTTCTCAGGACTACTGGTATGAATGTAACTTAAAAAAAATTATTTCCAATAGCTTTAGGGGGTACAATTAGTTTTTGGTTACATGGTTGCATTGTATAGTGGCGGAGAAGTCTGGGCTTTAAGTGTACCCACCACTCTCACCAGTGTACATTGTACCCCATAGATGTAAATGCAATGTGTAAGTTAACACTTGCTACAACTCTGAGCAGGAAGGACTACCGTGATGTCCATTCTGCAGATAAGAAAGGTGAGATTCCTTGCTCAAGAATACACAGCTAGCTGGATTTGGTGGCTCTGTCTGTAAGCCCAGCACTTTGGGAGGCTGAGGTGAGTGGATTGCCTGAGCCTGCAGGTTCGAGACCCGCCTGGGCAACTTGGCGAGACCTCATCTCTACAATAAATAAATAAAAAAAAAATTAGCCGGGCATGGTAGTGCGTGCCTGTAGTTCCAGCTACTTGGAAGGCTGAGGCAGAAGGATCTCCAGAGCCCAGCAGGTCGAGGCTGCGGTGGCCGGGAGTGTGCCACTGCACTCCAGCCTGGGCGACGGAGTGAGACGCCAATTCAAAAAAAAAGGAATACACAGCTACTAAGGGGTGACATCAGACTCAGAATGAAATTTCTGTGGTAGCCTGTCTTTCTCTATATGATCCAGCAAAAAACAAACTAAACTTGAGACGGCGCCAGGCACAGCAAGTTATAAATGGCATCCCCACACCATTGCCTCTGCAGTCTCCCTTGGGACCTCATCATCTGTCCCTCATCTTGTCTCTACCGCCAACAGAGACTTTTCTTTATAAAACACATTTAAAACACAAATCAGATCTCTTCTTGCTCTAACATCTTTCTAGGGCTTCCTACTGTGGATACAACAAAGTTCAAACTCCTCAAAATGGCATTTGGACCTTTCTTCCATCTAAACCCAACTAACGTTCCTTTGCAGTTCCCTTCACAGTCTTAACTCTATTTCCCTCTCCCTAGAATGCCCTTCTCTCCAGAGGCTAGACTGCTGCCTCCTAAAACCAACCTTACCCTACACCAAGCACTCCCAAGCTCATTCTATGCCACCAAGTATAACTCGAAGCCAGCAAAATCCTGAGTTCCTTGAGGGGCGAGACCACGTCTACAAGTTGAGCATGTTTCCCAGGAACAAGGGTAGTGCTTGCAAACATGGATGCTCAGGAAAGACATTTATTGAAGGAGAGCACTGATAAATTCTGATTTCATCCCATTGGCAATACTCCATCTTCCCCTTTATTATCAGTTCTGATGAGGAAGGGGGATGGGAAGAGGAGGAGGATAGGGAAGGAGGGAGGGAGAGGGAGAGATGGAGGGAGGAAGACAGAGGGAGGGAAGGAAATGGGGAGACAGGGAGGAAAAGAGAGGCAGAGGGGGAAGAATGGGGAGGGGGGAAGAGGAAGAGGGAGGGAGGGGAGAGAGAAGGAGGGGAGGGGAGCAGAGGAGAGATGGAGAGGGGGAAGAAGGAGATAGGGAGAGGGGAAGAGGGGGAGAGGGGAGGGGGAGAGAGAGGGGAGAGAGGGAGCAAGTCAGAGTCTGTCTTTTCCTCCTTATCCCCCCTAATTTTCTAGGCTACAAATAATCCATTTATTCAACTGTCTTCCTTTTTTTTTTTTTTAGACTAGGAGAAATAGTTGATTTAGAAAGTAAATTAGAGACAGACGGGAGGGAGGGGGAGAAGCGGGGAAGGGAGAAGAGAAGAGAAGAGAAGACATTCACCTCCCCAAGGCAGGGGAGGGGGCCAAGGCCAAGAAACATGTTGTCCATAGCTCAAGAAGCCACATGGACACATCAGAGTTTAACAAAGCAATGAACTCTTCAACAGTCTTTCAAACAAAGGCATTGCTCACTAAAATGCCTCTGTGTTTTTTTTAAGCTATTGCCCAAGTGACTTCTGAGCTGAAAACCTGAAATGAAACCTGAGATGGCCCTCAGGAGAACAGCAAATTCCTTTAAAGCTCAGCTGCAAAGCAAGACCAAAAGTCAAGTAAACCCCAGAACTGCGAACCGTCCTCGTTAACCAACCCAGGGGACACAGTTCCCCAGTCCCCACTCTCCCTCCTTTTTCCGATGCCTTAAAATTTGTGGAAAACTCTCTTGTTTGTGCCATCAGTGCCCTGGGTTTCCTTGGTGACTACAGCAGATCTACAGCAAATCCAAAGGTGTCAGGAGAGATGACGGAGATAACATCTCAGAAGGTGAGTCAAAAACTCTCTAGGCAGTCCACGGAGGTTGCAAGGTAACAACAGAAAAAGCTGCAAATGTTTTCTTATTTTAGCTTTTCATTCTCTTTTGTAAGTAGCTCTGTTGTTGACTGTGTACTGCCAGTTCCAAGTTATATCTTTTTCCTTATTTATTGCTGGAAGTATTTTGAAATTATTTTATTTATGAGAGCTTATTGTTTCTCCCCTAGGCCTGAGAGCCATGCTTTATGGCCATATTGCATTGAAGCTTATCTCCTGTAGCTAAAGATAAATTTATTGCCATATTAGCTGTTGTTTTGTTTTCTTTTTGGCTACTGAGGAGGGAAATGTTTAAACATTTAAACTTAGTGACTTGTGAAAGTGAAAATATATACACGAGAAGCTAAATCAGAAAAGGATAAAAGACCATACAGTGCAACAACATAGAAGGCCTATATCTCTATCTCCTCAATCTGCACATTTCTATTTATGGGTTAGAAGGAAAGGGGCATCAGGGACATTCTGGGGTAAAGGCAATTTGGGGAAACAGACGGGAGTGGGGAAAGGTTGGGGTTCAGGTGGCCAGCCAGGTAAGGGAGGCCAGCTAGGTGAGGAAGGCCAGTTATGTAAGGGAGGCCAACCAGGTAAGGGAGGGGGTTGCAGGAACGGGGGACTCACCTGCACCTCCCAGACAGCACCCCCGCAGGGTCACTCTGCACAACCACTCAACTCTCCTCTCCCTGTGCCCACAGTGCTGCTCAGAGCCC